CTGTCGCACAATCGCACATGCCTGCTTTAAGAGTGAGGTATTAGTGAAACATTGTTAAAACAAGCCAGTCCCTTCTTTCCCTCTAAGAGTTTCTTGTGATCCTGTTGCTTTGTCAGAAAGGCTGAAAAAGAATAATGTGGTTATTGAAAACCTGCTATTTACTTATTTGAAAAAGGGGCAAGCGGGTGTATTGTAACACCATATGAAACAACAGATTAGGATTAGATTAGTCGAAAGGTAAATGCTTTTTTCTACTCATGTTTGACTTAACAGAGGTCTCTAGAGTTTACAGATTTACTGGAAAGAGGACTCAGTTTCCAGCTCCTGATCTACCTCCAAAGCACAGCCAAATTTACTGGCAATAATTTCTGGCAAAAACATCTTGCAAAATTTATTTAGGACATGTGGAAAATAATCACTTCTAGTCCTTGTATTCTAAAAGGTCTCATCTTACCTGTCAAGAGCTGGAGTTAGACGGTAATCTTTGGTTGCTGACAGGATGGCTTTGATCAGATTATCTGGGGAGGAAGGAAGAAGACATTAGGAACAAGTTCTCACTTCTAATGGAAATAAAACCCAAAGTGATGTAAAGCATCTGAAGCAGTTACTTGGAAGAACTGAAATAAGGTTCACATTAGGAATAAACATTTTAACTTGCATGTTCCTATTTTCTCTGGACAATGACCTTCACACGCTGGCTGCAAAGACACGTTATGTGCCAAATTCTGATGCAGTGTGCAAATGCCTTGCACAGAGAGAATGACAGGGAACAAACACAGTACAGTTTAAGGCAGCGGTTTCATACCCACTTCCCTGAGACTGCAGTTTCACCAACACTTCAGACATGAAAAAGCCAGTATCACTGTCAATGCTTACTTTCAGACAAGCTTTTATGCAGCTGGATGCAGGAAGAGAACCAGGTTAAAACTGATGCTTTTTATTTTCCTGAGTTACTTTTAGTTTAGGTTCAGTTCCGTAGTCTGGCTTTCTTCATGGCAGAATCCATCATAGTTGCTTAAAGAAATGCCCATGGAACCACAACCTACACTGACACCCGGTGAATGCTGCAGCAATCAGATGGTATAAGTTATGCAAGCATAGATACACACATAAATTAAATATATTAAATTGTAGAAGCACAATGATTACACATAAATAATTCTATTGACTATGGAAATTTTTGAGTCTCCTTCCTTCTAGATTTTGTCCTTTGTCCCCAATTTTTCCACCTCTCTCCCATAAAGGCCCAAACTCCTTTACCATGACCTGTCCAGGGCCAAGAAGCAGCAATGCTTTGGCTAGTCTGGATTTACAAATGCACCAGTAACTTCAGGAAGGTCGTACTGGGTTCGGCAAAAAGTCCATCTGTCTCCAAATCCTGACTCTAACTGTGGCCTGAAATTCTCTTCTACCATTTAATTATTTTCAAATCAGGGATTTCATGTGTCAGGTATAGCTTCTATGTATCTGGCAACCTTCAGCGATTTCTCTTCCATGAGCTCAGAATCCTCCTGGATCCATATAGACTTTCAATCACTTCCTTTCCTGATTTTGAATATGGCTTCTCCGAGCTTCATTTATACAGGAAAAGATTGTGAACAATTAGTCCCCTTCCACTTTCCTTAGCAGATTGTAAATATCTATCATATCCTTCCCTTAAATATACCGGTCAACTAGTTCAAAAGTTCTTAGGAAACAATCAGTCAAAAGGAATAAGTAAGTCTCATTTCTTTACAGAAGATTAAAAATGACACAGGAACATTAAGAAGATTGACATTAAGTGATTGTTTACAGTGAACTTAAATAGTTTTCCTGATAGACACTACTTACTGCAATCAGCACAGTTAGGGGAGTCCCTTTCAAATAAAGAGTTCTGTTCTTATTTACTATATCCCTCCGCAGAAACTACAGGACAAGGGTGTGGGATTGAACACACAAGCTCGAGGCAGCTCATGTGCTAAACAGCTTTGAACCTGACAACAAGCTGGTGAGACGCGCATGGCAGATAAACAAAGGTGACAGACAGAAAACTCTGATGGCTAATTTTAGATTTGAGGAAGTTTTTGACACGGCATTACTGACAGCCCCTGCCAACCCTTACAAGCTGGGAACTGTGATTACTTTCAAGAAGATCATATTTTGGAGCGGGGTAAGGAAAGAGGCAATTTGTAGTGTAAAAGCAACTTACTTTGCTAACAAAATAGCGGTTTTGTTTAATTTTCCTTCATCTGAAGAATTTCTTTTGACGTATTGGCAGCAGGCTCCCTCTCCAACAGGAATGCTATTTCCCTAAGTCTGCTGCAACAGCAGTAGGTTGTTGTGACCTCTAATGGCATCATGCCACAGTCCTCTCCTTGGCCTGTCTCATACGTTGACTTTTACTGAACAGTATATATTACTGTGGTTGTTTTCCCACACTCTCAGAAAAGGGATCAAAGGATTGCATGTCAAGGGCTGCAACCTCCCATCTACCAAGCTTTTCTTATGCCAGGTTTGCTCTACCACCCACAAGTTAACACCCTGCACTACTTGGAGGCCATCCGTTATACTATATTAAAAAGCACATTAAAGGAATACAGTTGACTAATGCATTCAAATAATTCTGTTTTTTTCATCTTGCCAGCTAATTAGTAATGCCTTCATAGTGAATGCTCAGGAATGAAATACGACTACTTTAGGACTGGATATGGCAGCATTTGGGATGGGGATGCTCCCCTTTCCCATCATCCAGAGAGGAAACACAAACAAAACAAACAACAGTACAGGACATTCAGCACAGATTAAGAATAGCCAAATGGGAGATATCTCTTCAGCAGCCCCCACAGTCCAAGAAGACATGGCATGCAAGAGGTTTGGAAGTTGCACAAATCAGTGTTATCATTCAAAACTGCTGAATGAAGCTCAGTAAAAGACAACAGTACTTCACTGCCAAGTGTTGACTCGCAGCAGG